CCTCGACGACTCGGACTGGTCTACGGTGTTATGGACTTACTCAATAGGAGTATTTGGCGCTGTCGGCATTTGACTAGGAGAACTAAGATACTAAGATCAGGCTCTTCAGAGTTCTGGTGATCCTGGTCTTACTCTATGGGTGTGAGACCTGGACATTGAACAGTGCTCTGAAGGCCCGTTTTGACTCCTTTGGTACTAAGTGTCTTTGCAGAGTCTTGAGGTATACCTGGAGGGACCATGTGTCCAATCAGAGGATACTCCATAAGACTAATTCAAGACCTATTACCAGTCTGATACGAGAGTGCCAACTTCAGCTCTATGGGCATGTGGCTCATTTTCCTGAGGAAGATCCGGCTCATAGGATCATCTCCGAGAGGGTTGACCCAGGCTGGAGAAGACCAAGGGGAAGGCAACGGAACTCTTGGCTGAAGCAAGTCGATCAGAACTGCCAAGATGTGCTTGGGGTGGGAAGGAATGCTGCGTGGAGGCTTTTTCGGAGGGACCCCAGGAGGAGGAGGCAAACGTTGGGCGCGGCAAAGCACAGCCATACAGTTATACACACACACACACTACACACTCATTATATTCATACACACACAAATACATACATACATATATATATATATATATATATATATATATATATATATATATATTTATATATATGTATATACATATATGTGTATATACATATATATATACATATTGTACATATACATACACACACACATACATATGTATATATATATATATATATATATTGTGGCCGCCGAAGAACGCCTATGATGTGTCAGTGGGTGTGGGGTGACTGATACCACTGCATAGCACTTGCACAAAGTTTATTCAGTAGCGGCAAAATCTGTTAATTAATACATCGAATATAAGATTGCATGCACACATCTTACTGAGACATATCAGAGACCACCTGCTGAGGCACCAAAGGCCGGAGCAATCTGGATTCACTCCTGATAAGACCACAATAGACTGCATCCTGGCTCTTCAAGTCATTGTAGAGCGCCGTCGTGAGGTCGGACGTGGCTTGCCCGAAGCTTACATCGACCTCAAGAAGGCGTTTGATACGGTGCATAGCGAAGCACTGGGAGATCCTGAGGCTAAGAGGAATTCCAACAAGGATTATTGGATTAATAACAAACCTGTATACAGGCACTGAAAGTGCTGTAAAGTGTGGTGGGGCCTGTCAAGCTTCTTCCCTGTTAGCTCAGGCGTGAGGCAAGGCTGTGTTCTTGCACCAACACTTTTCAACACTTGCATGGATTGGATACTGGGTAGAGCTACTATTCAAAGTCACTGTGGAGCAATTCTGGGCATTATCAAGGTTACTGACCTTGACTTTGCTGATGATGTCATTCTATCTGAATCTCTGGAAACCCTAGTGGCGGCTCTTGATGCATTTAGCAATGAAGCGAAGCCCTGGGGCTAGAGGTCTCCTGGACCAAGACCAAGATTCAGGACCCTGTGCAGTCGGTACGTGCTTGCGGCGAAAACATCGAAGTTACCAAGAGCTTTATATACCTCAGTAGTGCAGTTCACGACTCTGGGCTGTCAGACCAGGCCACTTAATAACGACATGTTAGATCATATGATAAAGAACTTTCTACAAATATTAGATACATAAACAGTCAGAATATCACCTTAGTAGTCTGATTCCAGAATACTATGGGCGTCTTGACGGCACAGAGGTTCCCCTCGGACTGCCCTCGATCTTTAAACATACATATGCTCCAATGTCAAGCAACATTTGTTATACATTAGAAAAGCCATCATCACTTCCTATGGCACGACCCCCTCGCACAAGCATATTTTGACAGGTCAGCTCTTATGGGTGATACAGACCATGTGTTGACCCGGTGGTCACAACCGCCGAGGCCTCCTCGGCGGTTGTCACACAGAAGATGAATTTTATACCATACAACCTCACCGATCACAGTGTTACAGAATATGAGATATAATAGCCGCTGATATGAAGTACATGATATACCAGCGGCTACACTCCCCCCTTTTGCTCTGCAGTGAAGCAACCATATTATCCCGTCGTTCTGGATAATGATGCTTCCAAGAGGCATAACTTCACAATGGGTCTGATGAGGACTCCAGAACTAGTCTGAACTTTGGCTTTTCTCATAAGACCATCTTCACCGGCTATAGCCTCCACCACTCGCCCTAGCCTCCACTGATTCCTGGGAGTATGTTATTCGACAATGAGGACAAGGTCTCCTTCCTGAAGATTTCGAGATAGCTTCAACTGTCTCTGTCTCATCCTCAATGTTTTCAGGTACTCAGCTTTCCATCTCTTCCAGAATCTATCTGCTAGGACTTGTGCGTGTATCCAGGCTCGGCGATATATATTGTCAAGTGTGACGTCGCCCGGGATCACGGTGAGAGGGCGGCTGTTCATTGTGGCTTCTACTTCACAAAATAGGGCTCGTAGTCGATCATCATCTATTCTGTGTGTGCCTATGATTGAAGAAAGAATCTTTGT